ATTTTTGTTTGAACTCCTGTTTGAGTGAAAAAAGTGGGTTCACTGCTCCTGCATGGGGTGACAAAAAGGAGAAAGACTGTGGTTCAGGGCAGAAAGAACTCCTGGAGCCCCACTCAGAGGAGGACGGACAGTGATGTCTTGAGGGGAGCACATGAACGCAAATGGCAGCCCTCCAAGAGTAAAGTTGTATTTCTGAGCCATTCAGATGTCCCGAAAGGCTTACACAAGTCTAAAAAGGATCCTCCCAAGCCTCTGATAGAACCATTGCACTGAGGGACTTATCCCTTTGAAGAACATGACAACTTTTGAATAAATAAAAGAGAGATATAAAAGTTGCTATCTTTCTCTCCTTTTCACTGTGGGGAGTAAATATTTCTTTTTTCTGACTAGCTATTTAATTTGTGCACAGGCAACTAGGGGTGTGGCAATCTTTCCAAACCCACTCTGATACTTTACCTGACTGGCCATTTAGCTAAACAACCAAATGCTCAGCAAATATAATAGGTGATTGATCCTTTCAATGCTGTCAGCAAAAGGGAAAACAACAACAAAATGCTAAGCATTGGCCCACGGGGGAAATGAAGTTGTATTAGAGAGGCTTCAGCTCTTGCTAGTCAGACTCTGTTTCTGCTTCATAAAATATCTAACACAGCAGTCAAGACCCGTGCAGCATGGCATATCACAAGGCCTCCTGATTTATGCCACAGTGTAGCACAGAATGCTGCTGCAGCATAGGCACCGGGCAGCAAAACTAATTGGCTACCACATCATTTGACAATTTCCAGGTTCATAATCTGAAGAATGCCCCACTTAGTGGAATTGTGACCAATACACTAGAGCTACATCTACATTGTCAAGATTTTGCACAAATACTTCTAACGCAAGAGTTTTTGCGTTAAAGTATTTGCGCAAGAGAGCATCTACACTGGCATAGATGCTTTTGCGCAAAAGCACATCTCTTGCACAAAAGCACATGCCAGTGTAGATGCTCTCTTGCGCAAATACTTTAACGCAAAAACTCTTGCGTTAGAAGTATTTGTGCAAAATCTTGACAATGTAGATGTAGCTCTAGTGTATTGGTCACAATTCCACTAAGTGGGGCATTCTTCAGATTATGAACCTGGAAATTGTCAAATGATGTGGTAGCCAATTAGTTTTGCTGCCCGGTGCCTATGCTGCAGCAGCATTCTGTGCTACACTGTGGCATAAATCAGGAGGCCTTGTGATATGCCATGCTGCACGGGTCTTGACTGCTGTGTTAGATATTTTATGAAGCAGAAACAGAGTCTGACTAGCAAGAGCTGAAGCCTCTCTAATACAACTTCATTTCCCCCGTGGGCCAATGCTTAGCATTTTGTTGTTGTTTTCCCTTTTGCTGACAGCATTGAAAGGATCAATCACCTATTATATTTGCTGAGCATTTGGTTGTTTAGCTAAATGGCCAGTCAGGTAAAGTATCAGAGTGGGTTTGGAAAGATTGCCACACCCCTAGTTGCCTGTGCACAAATTAAATAGCTAGTCAGAAAAAAGAAATATTTACTCCCCACAGTGAAAAGGAGAGAAAGATAGCAACTTTTATATCTCTCTTTTATTTATTCAAAAGTTGTCATGTTCTTCAAAGGGATAAGTCCCTCAGATGGTACCATCTTGTTCCTAATTATATCTCATAGAAAGGG